TTAGATCCCTCTCCCCATGGCCCCCTTGTATCTTGAACCAGAGCACTTCTGCTTGCCCCTCTAACCCCATTTTGAATGAATCTTCCCCAGTGCTGGGTGTGGGCTGAGCCCAGCGCCGGTCCCAGGTGGCAAATCAGCCTCTTGTCATCCAGCACGCAGATCCAAGGGCCCGCACCCCCAGAAGGAGTCCAGCACTGCCCAGCAGCCCTCCTAGGGATGCAAGCCCCCAGATCTGCGCGCTGGAAGAGTGGAGGCTGTCACTGCTGGCAAACATAAGGAGTTTTCCTTTGAACAGTTTGAGGTGCATTTTCCCAGAAATGTCTGCACCTATCTCCTTGAATCTTGGCAGGCTTCATGCTCTCAGAAGGGGCTACCACCACTGCAATTTTCATCTGAATCAGGCAAGAAGTGACAAAGTTTTAGGCAATTTCATGATTCCCCATTATAGCCTATGGGCGAACTGTTGAAACAGCAAAACAGTTTTGACGAAACAAAATGGAACAGTGCTTCGAAATGAAACAAAGCAACGGAACGAAACACTGTCGCTTTGAAACAGAAAAACAGATGTTGAAACAAAATAAAGGTGCTTCGCACAGCCCTAATACTACCTACACTGCCTACACTTGCCAGTGGATTAGAATCCAAACTAAACAGGTTCTACTGTTCAGAGACAAGGATATTATGAATTGTATTATTTACAAACTTCTATTCAGGTCAGTATACTTAGTGGTCTCTGTTCCTAGGGAACACAGGACTAAAAAAAGGTTGAGACTGAGGTGAGAGATGACAAAAAAGCAGTAGCTTGTTCAGATAGCTTCAAGGAGCAGACGTGTTTCAAACACATCAGGCATTAGGATGAAAAGGCTCTCAAGTCTAAAAGCTATTTTTGTTCTACTAATGAATGCTCCTCTACTATTAATTTTTTAGGTCTGAAAAAAAAAAAAAAAAAAAAAAAAGGAAATTGTGTTCTAGCACAGAATTTTATAAAATCCCAGAAAACAGGTTAATGAAAATTCCAACAGAGGAGTCACCGCTTGATTAGCAGAATTGCTGAAACTCTTGTGTCCCTAACAGCTCTGAAAAGCACCACAAAAGCATTTTATGGAACTATAAAAAGGATTATATCCTACAAGCCTAGGCTTTTGAGAACAAAGCTACCTATCTGAGGCTGCAATATAGCACAATTGCTACTACTTTTACTTCCAAGTATCTGGGGCCTAATTTGCCATTTGCTCAGAACTTACGTAAATCAGGAATAACTGCACTCCCCTTGGTAGAATTAATGGTGTAAATGGGAGACAAGTGAGTCCCACTTTGCAGTTATTTGACAATGCACCTACTTCTAACAGCTGAAGTCCTCTCAACTACTCAGTATGCAAATATAATTTCATCTCCCATTAACAGAAGAACAGATCTCATTAGGTAAGAAGCCTTGTTGCTCTGCAACTTTTGAAAGTCCTATAAAATGATCGTAAGACAAAAGTATTTCTCACCACCAGTGTATGTTCAGTAGCCCTTTAAAACCATCTGAGATTCTCAGCTGGTATAAGCTATTATGGGTTGCAACAGACTTTTTTTTTTTTTTTTTTTTTTT